TAATATTAGCGCGTGCAAGTAAAAATTACCTTGGACAATTCATACCACCCACATTTGTTTTTACCATAGATAAATAAACTTTAGTTGGTAGTGTATCATACGTTTAAAGTATAATTTAAAATTAGATTGACATTTTGTATTGTAAATGATAATGAGGAAATTTACCCCAGGTGGCCTTCGACGCCCTTATTTGCTTCTTTTTTGTTGCGATCGAGTCATCTTAATCCATACTAATATTATAAAGAGGAAAGATTTGTATTTTTGCATGTATCGAAATAACTCAAAAACTACTGAGCCGATTTCAAAAATTCTTTCACCATTTAAAAGCTACGTTATCTGTAAAATAGGCTATATACCCTTGCGCTACATACCCTTAATTAAAAGAGGGTAGGCAGCCCAGGGTGAATCGTTACTTATTGAGCTAGTGCGCTCTATCCTTCGGCCGCGTCTTCACTTAGCTTAGGTGGAGTCGTGGTCAAGCGCTTGTTTATTTATGTTAAAAAAATAAATAAATAACAGAGATGCAGATATGAAGATCTTATTTTCCTTTCCTATGTGTCTCCTACACCATCAAATCTACTTTAATAAGGGAAAGGGAATAAAACCCCACTAGTTAGTTAACTAGTTTTATTAACATGATCAAATGCCAAGAGACATTCTTATCGCTTACTGAACATTATGACTATTGCTGAGGGAAATCCACTCTAAGACATATATGAGACTCTTTGTTATTAGGTTTTTTACAATTGCACACGTTTTGAAACTCATTTCAACTTGTTACGTAACGAATTACAAGTGTCACATTTCATTTTACAAATTATTTTCTCTGTTAATATGTTAACATTGAAAAGTTTATGCGAATTAGGTTTTCAAAAAATGACGATTATTTTTTGAGAAATTTGGCTTCATATTATAGACCACTAGCTGTTGCTCGCGACTTCGCCCGTGTAAAAAATAAATAAAAAAGCATAGCCTATGTTACTCACAGATAAGTTACCTGTCTAACGGTGTAAGAATTTTTAAAATCTGTAAAGTAGTTTTTGAGTTATTTCAATACATACAAAAATATAAAAATACAAATCTTTCCTCTTTATAATATTAGTAAATAACGTTCAAATTTAATTAATCCATGTTCCAGAACTCTGATGATTAATAACAAGTCTGGAAAGTCACCGATCCGACTTTAAAGCAATTAGTACGTCCAGGAGGAAACTGTGGGACTCCCCCACATTTTGTATTTATTACATTGGCACCATGTGACGTAACGTAACATATAATGTACTTATTTACTATGAATAAAATAGGTCATAGTTATATAAGCCAAAGGCCAAATTCTGAAACGAATTTCAAACACTTCACTACACACTTCGTAAACGCTTACAAATATCTGATATCAAACACTTAATGAAATTTGGAGGTTAAACATAGCCTTATCTTTTTCATAATTATATATTTCTATTCCGTTTCAGTATTGGGCCGATAGTCTTCAATCTATCTATATCTATGACAAATTCCAGATTTCGACAAGATGTAGTTATTTCGTTGCCGATAACGAAAATCGCATTAAAAAAATTATCTGTCCGTCTGTCCGCGAGCCGCGTTTGGTCCGGGTAATCTCCGAAACAGTTGGGCCGACTTCGACTGGACTTTCCCTGAAGGGTAGCTGACATAGACGGGCATGTTATATACTTTTTTACATTTATATTGCGTGGACGATGTCGCGGGCAACAGCTAGTTTACAATAAAAAATAGATTATTTGTTTTTCGCTACAAACTACGGGTCAGGTTTTGATAAATTTTAATAGTCTGTTCCGAAAACTCTAAAGCATGTTTGTTTCATTTATACTCGTAGATACACTTTTTTACACTTTATTATCAACCAGTCTTCGCTTCCAGTTAATTAAGGTAAAAGAAACAACAGTCTAGATTACTTACTAGTAGTTTTTTTTCAATGGGTCGAGTTTTGGATTTTCACTGGATCAAATGCAAACATTTTCTTATTGTTTCCAGAAACACTAGAATTGTAAGTTAAATATTTCACATAAAACCTTGTTTAAATTACTTTGTCTATCATATTTTAACTTTTATGCATACATTATTTTAATAAATAATTCGACGGCCTACACAGCTCTAATTTATTCTAGTTTTAGCTTCTAGAACTTCCGTAGATTGGTAAGTTTTAAATACATAGTTGCAAGTATAGCTTAAATAGCGTCAATTTGTAAAACGTCTAGACATATTACAAAAATCTGTACTTTAAAAGGTTGACCAACTGTTATTAAATGACTCAAAAAATCAAACAAAAAAGTGGAACCCACCTGCAAGCATCACCTTTCGGATAACAAAAGAATTATCAAAATCGGTCCACTAGCGGCGGAGTTATGCCGTAACACACATAAAAAATCGGTCGGAAGTCGGTCAAAATGGTCCAAAGAGCGGATGCACACTTTTAACAATCGCACAACAGTTGTGTCGCAACATTGTTTCGCAGACAATTCATATCTTGTTCTTTTTATTTGCATAACTAAAAATCGAGTAGTGTGCGCACTTTACAATCTCATAGGAATCAAAGCTTGACTAAACAGTTTTGCGATAGTTAAGTCTAAGGCCCGCGCGCTTTAATTTGCAAATACAGTAGCAAGAACCTCGATAAGTTAAAGTCCAAGGGAAACACAAAATATTTTAAGTTATAGAGGTTTTAAGTTATCAAGGGTCTATGTTATAGAGGTTCTGGGCTCTGATGGGAAGGGAACATATTATATTTTGAAGTTACCGAGGTTTGAGTTATCGAGGTTTTATTTTAGTTAAATTTGACGTTAGCGGGTAAATTACAAGTTACAATAAAACTGTTCCGAAAGTAGAATTTAAGTACATATAGAATATAACACATAATTTGTAGTACAGATAAAAACGACTAGTAGCTTTATAGAATAGCATAAGTTTCAAAACTATCGCGACATTGTTTATATTAAAATATGTAATTTGAATATTTATGAACTGTATTTTTATACGTTAACAGACGTAATGCCACGTGCGAGATAGTGAATGATGTATTGGACGCAAGGAAATCCGATTAGCTGAGAAATTAATATAATCTATGTCATAATACGTATTAACACGTGTATAATTATAATATTGTGCATTTTAATATATATAATCTTATGCAAGAGACACCTAGGTCAAAACCCATTTGTAGCTCGCTCATGAATATGGAATGAGTCCTGAAAATACTAGATTGTACGCAGTTGCATAGTATGTAATTTTTTTTAACAATATTCGTTGGTTTTTACACTTCGATTGATTTTGAAATTGGATATATTATTTAAGATCTCCCTAGTATTAAAAAGTTTAGGTCAGCTGAAATTAATTTGCCTATATTAATATTATTAAGAGGATAGATAGATTTGTATTTTTGGATTTTTGTATGAATTTGATTCCCGCAAAAACTACTAAGTCGATTTTAAAAATTCTTTCGCCATTAGAAAGGTAATTTATCTATAAGTGACATAGGCTATATTTTGTGTTATTTTTTAATTTCACGCGGGCGTAGTTGCAAATAACAGCTAGTTTTTATACAACAAAGCAATGTAATTAAAAATGGACAGGCTTTTAGATGTTTTGCGCTGACGTATTTAGTCGGATAATCGGTAAGATTTATAGGCAACATATTTATAGATTAGTTATAAAAGTGCATGACAACAAAATGAACCACCGAAGTAATGAACCATCTTAAGTGTCAAGGCGACTGCAATCGCAACTAAATAGTTTTTTTTACAACATAATAACGACGTCCGTTGCCTCGTTGATATAAAAAAATGTTTTAAACCTCTGTATATTTGTAAATAACTGAAAGTAGCTTAATATTGCTTCGCTCATAATCATACTAAAATATAAATGTGATAGTTTATTATTGATGGATGGATGGATGGATGTTTTTTAGTGTTTATAGCCTAAACTACTAAACGGATCTCAATGAAATTTGCCATAGATGTAGAGGATAGTCTGGAAGAACACGTAATCTATATATTTGTTCTTTTTAATACTACGCGGACGAAATCGCGGGCGAAAGCTAGTGATTAAATAAAGAAATGCTTGTTACGATTTTCTCTAAGAATTTAGGAGACACAAAATATAACAAACCAATAATTATTTGCTAATAGTAGAAGCTACAAATGACAGCAATGCAATGCAATGGTGCATTTTAAAGGTTTTTTTTAGTAGTTTTTAAGTTTATTCGAAAGAACTACAACTTTAAAGGCCAATAACATGGTGGTTCTTTAACAGATGACAGAGAGATGGCGACACAAGCGTCCCTGGTTAAACCGGTGTTACCACGATCTCGTAGATGACACGAGTCAAGGACTACAGAATTATAGGTATAATTATGATATACTAGTAGAGTCCTGTCTATTATTAACCGTGGATTTCCACAGACGAAACCTGTACACAGAAATACATTGCTAAGCTGTACAGTTAGACAAAGTTGCAAGTTGAAATGCGTCAATGAAATACCGTTTTGTAAAACAGTATAATAAGAATTCTATAAAATACTCAATGTTATTTAAATTATGTTAAAAATAAATATAGTAAAATAAATAAACATGCATATGTAATAACTAGATACATATTTTTGTAAGACATTCGTAAAATTAATTTCACATTTATTACAAATAATAAATATTCCAAAAATCATAATTAAACGTAATGAAACATTATTTTGTAAAATATTTGCTTTAATTTACATTGATTAATATAATATAATCAAATAAAACTTAATCACAATATATAGTAATATATTTATTTAGAAAATAAAAGATTTAAGGCCAACATAGAATCGGCGCGTTTTTCGTCGACAAAGCGTATTAGCCAACGGCTATATAAATTGGCATTGCCCGTTGTGGCTGACAGTGCGAGCCTTTGCCTTTGTGCATACTGCATCGGCGCCAAGAGAACGCGC